TTTTGGGGTGGTGGCGGTGGAGCCAGATCGCGGCGGTGTAGAACCCCTCCTTGTCGGATTTCCCGGTGCCGCGGATCCCTCTGAGGTTGAAGATGAGCTTGAGCGCCGTGGGAGCGTCGTGATCCCAGGCGGCGGAGAGCCGCTTTTCCAGGGACGCGGGAGGAGTGTCGGGGACGACGTGGAAGAAGAAATCGAGGCAGGGGTCGCCGGAGGAGAGATACGTCGCGGACATGTTCTCCGTGTAGCCCATCGGCGGGGAGAGCACGGTACTGTTGAAGCTGGAGACCATGTGATCAATGAACGGATCGCCGGATGGTGGTGGTGGTGGTGGTTGCGTGGGGCTGGCTTTTGGCGGCGACGGTGGTGGTTCGGTGGCTTTTCTGAGCTCCGGTGGGCCGAGAAGAGCAAGAGACGTCGTCCTCATCGGCGGCGGCGGAGTAGAAGAAAACAACCGCCAGTGGGAGGGATAAAATTTTAAGTGTTAGGGGATACATTCGGAGCGTTTGTTTGGAAGAGATCGCCATGGCCATAACAAGACCCTTCCGAATGAAGGCCATAATGAGACCTTTTAATACGGAAAAGAGTTCTTGCGCTCCAAGAAACCCAAACACCTAGTATAAGTATAGAAAAATGCTAGGATACACCAAAGGTGTACCCCATTTGTACCCCATCCCCTCCATCACCACACAAAAAGGAAAGAAACTAAAACAAAATTAAATAAATAAAAATAAAATAAAAAATAAATAAAAATAAAATAAAATTGAATGGTGGAGAAAGGGGTGGGGGACAAATGGGGTACACCGTACACCAAATGGTGTACCCCTAGCATTGCTCATAAGTATATTGTGTTTACTAGTATCAGTAGTATTTTATGGTATCAAATTATGAGGTATTCCATTTGTACACCAAGTCAACACATACACACAAACATAAATGTATGTGCTGCACATACATTTTGTGTCTGTGTGTGTCTTTGTTAGCTTGGTGTACACATGGGATACCCCATGTTGGTGTACCCCTATTACATTATCATACTCACCCATTCAAAAAAACCCTCTTAATTTTACTTGAAATTTCCCTCAATTTCTTTTGCTAAAAAAAGTTATAAAATTTAAAATGTGTGGTTGAAAACTATGTATAAGAGACAAAAAATTATGAATCACACAAAATTTTAATTTTACTTGAAATTTCCCTCATTTTTTTTGGATTAAAACAAATTATAAAATTCAAAATGTGTGGTTGAAAATTGTGTAAAAGAGACAAAAAGATTATGAATCACTCAAAGTAAAAAACACTTTTTAGATGTCTCAAAATGAAAATAAAGAATCATATTTGAGCCGGAACAAGTAATACTCTTTACTTTTTTACAAATTAATATCACTTTCATTATTTATCAAGTTGTACACCACCCTACTTTCTATCAAATATTTTTTATTTATGATCTTATTTTTAGGTTCTAAATACGGAATAAGAAATGTGTGATGAAAAGGATATTGAAGTGTAACTTGGTATACATCTTGGATAAACTACATCATATCTATTCACTTAATAGCTTATTTATCACATCTTAATTTTACGTTGATATTCAATTACCAATTTTCACCGTTGGTAATTAGGTGTTTACTCTGTAATCCCTTTCGTCCCAGTGTATTTGTCCAGTTTGACTTTTTCGAGTCAAGCTGGACAAACTTTGAGTTTCAATTAAATAAAAATTGTAATGTATTTTAATATAAAAATGACTTTATTGGATTTATCATGTCGAGAGCTTTCAAAATTGTATTTCATTATGTTAATATGCAATCTAAATTGATAGTAAGTGGAGTTCAAAGTTTGTCCAGTTTGACTCGAAAAAGTCAAACTAGATAAATACACCGGAACGGAGGTAGTATTATTTTAGTTTTTAATTACCAATTCCTATAGCATTTCACACACCTTCATCGAACCTTACTTTTGTGCTCCAAGTAGAATTTTATTGGATTATTGTTGTTTGTTATATTAATGCAAATGAAATTTGGATTATTGTTGTTTGTTATATTAATGCAAATGAAATATTTGGTATGATGTTTCTTTATGCTTTTAAGAGCAAAGTTATCCATTTATCAATATTGTTATACCCATTTTCCTTTTTCATCCTTCCGAAAATATTCTTCCCATTTCCTTTTTTAACTTACTTTTTAACTTGAAATTTCTTTTATACCCTTACACACAATCCATTGGATGCCACGCCCCACTTTTTATCTTTTCATTCAAATTGAGTGTTGACCATCATTATTACCCCACCCACCCACCTATCTCTTCATTTCTCTTCCCCATTGTATCTCTCTTCCACTCCGTACTTCACATCTTTATCTTCATCTTCTTTAAATCATCCCCAATCTCTCTCTCTCTTCTACTCCGTCTTGTTCCTCTTCTTCACCTTCTTTAAATTTTTTCACACATTTTCTTTCAATTTTTTTATTGGAAAGTCTTTCAATTTCAATGGAAACAGAGGATATATATCTTCTCTCTATTATTCCTGAAACTCCTCTGGAACATCTTCAAGATGCTTCTGGTGGCGGATTGAACTGCATGCAAGGAGAGTTGCAGGGAGACGGTGAAGTGGTGATACCAAACTCGTACAAAGGAGTAGACAGTCATGAGGGAGTAAACCAAATTTTTGTGTTTAATGAATGTTCCGTCCTTATTTGTATTGGGAAAATGAATGTGTCATCCTTTTTTGTACTGGAAAAATGAATGTGCCCCATCCCTTAACTTTATTGTTTTTCTTTATTGCTTTTAAACTAGGGGCTTTTTTGGAAACTTTATTTATTTTTAATTAGTCCTAAATAGGCGTGCCAATTCAACCCGGGAAGAAAATTACCGGACGGAGGGAGTAAGAATTTAGGAAGTAAATGAAAAATACATGATTTAGGTCATGTTCTTTTTGTCTAATCTAAATGGTTCTGTTCTGATTCAAATAAGTTCGAATATGATCTGGTCTTACCTGATCTGATCGGAATGTAATTATATTTAAAGATATTTTTGATCTGGTCTGATCTAATTCCAATAAGAAAATACAATAAGTAATAAGAATAAGTTGAAGAGAACATGACATTAGTCATTTTTTATCGATTCATTTGTTTTTCGCAAAACTATCTCACCCGGTAATTTAAATGATGCTTAGATTGATATTAGTAAACTACAAAATACTTAATTCAATGTTTCATGGCATGTCATTTCATTTCCAAGTGAGATATCACTTAATAAGTTTTGAAATACCCCGGGTATATTTTTTTGCTCGAAGAGCTGAAATATGACAAAGAGAAGTTAATTGTCATATGATATAAGATGGTATCACAAGATTCTTTTTTAATAGTAACTCCAAAAATGAAGCGTTAGGAGGAAAAATAGTTATACTCAGAAGTCAGAAGTGACTTCTGTCTAATCCTTGTAGTTTTACCAAGAACTTCAAAAGACGAATATGTGGGTGCTATATTCAAGTCATCAAAAGAATGTGAGCATGTTGTAGTGTTTTTACATCTTCATTTCCTTACACAGACAAGGACACTTTTTTTACTAGACACTCAAAAGTATTGTCGAGTTCACTTATTTGAATCTATAGGAAAATTTATAAAATTATACTTCTTCCATTACAAATTAATACTCACAGTTTGACTTTGCAAAAAAAATAAATAATAATTAAGTGGTTAAAAATGATACAGATGAAAGAGAAAAAAAGGTAAGCCAAAAAAGCTTTTCAAAAAAAAAGGTAAGCCAAATGCAGTCACACACAATTGATAAGCTTATGAATTTTGTGATCACATTATTTGTGACTAGCAGTTTTGGAAATAATTTAACCATATATGACACCCCGGAAAACATGCACATTAAAGCCAAGTTGCCCTGGAAATCATGCTGCATTCAATTATATTTATTGATGAAATAGTGCACAAATACAACCCCAAGTGAAGAAGAAGAAGAAGAAGAAGAAGAAGTAACGTTTTATTATTATGAAACATAATATGCCTGAGGAGGCCATCGTCCATTTAAACCCCCTTTGGTATAGAACTACTAATAGAAGAAGGGACTATATATGATCAAAGCAGCTCCAACACGAGGGCCGAGGCACCCCCTCCCCCGTTGCACACCCCGCCTACTCCGTATTTCCCATTCTTCTGCTTCAACACCTGCACATCAAACCCCATTCTTCCGTTATTGCCCCCCACTTAACAAATATACTCATATATAGTACACACACACCACAATTCTTTTGACACTGATTTTGGAGCTCGGTTAGGCCCCAGAGTGGGTCCTAACCAGCCACCCACACTCCAACACACCACAGCTGCCCCCTGCTCCTTGGAAACACCACAATGTTACTACAGCATTTCAGTTTTTCCGGAGAGCTTCATCAGAGAGGCAAAGGTGGGTCAGCATTAGTGGGGAGGTTTGTGGGGATAGGACCCGCCTCACAGCCAACAGGGCACTATATGATAGGACCCTCAAGTGGTCATTGTCATAATAGGACAAAAGATCCCTTCCCGTGGTGGTGGGGGGGGGGGGTGGCAGGAGGAGAATTGAGGGGATTGTAGGAGGGGTTAGGAGTCGAACAAAACACAAAATGGCTCTCAGATGGAACGATGTCATATTATGACACCAATCATTTTATTGCAAAGTACTACGGAGTACATGAAACCAACAAATCTATCATCATTGTAAAACATACCCCGAGAAGTGTAACCAATATCCGAGCTCCACTGCATCCAAGTGGATGCCCCAAAGCTACAGCTCCGCCATGCACATTAACTTTCTCCTATAAAACAAGCACAAAATTTAAGACAAACTGTACTTGTAGAGAGTCACTCATACGTTGGAAGAGCTCAAATTGCCTGAATTTTGATTTAAACTCACCCCATCAAGCCCCAATAACTTCTGGTTTGCAAGAGCCACAGCCTGCATGCATATGGTATGTGCTCTAGAAATAAGAACGCAAGCTCGCTGGTAAAAAAACATAAAAGGTATATTCATTTCAAAAGTTAACATACTGCAAAAGCTTCGTTGATTTCGTAATAGTCAACTTGAGAAGCTTCTAGACCAGCATTTTTTATAGCCTTTGGAATTGCAAGAGCCGGAGCAGTTGTAAAAAGTTCAGGTGCCTGCATGCAGCAAAATTTCAAAAGAATGTATCAATAAACTTAATTTCGGTTCATCATAAAACATGATCCAAATGTGTGTGTATAGGTTGTCATACTTGAGCAGCATCTGCATATCCCCTGATCTTTGCAATCACAGTTAAACCAAGCTCAGCAGCCTTTTCTCCACTTACTAAGACAATAGCAGCAGCACCATCGCTGAAAATTAAAATTGTTTTGCGTCATTTGAACTTCCTATAACGGGCACTTCAATTTTTTCAGAATAATTAGAAGCTGGGGGCAGTCGTCAACAGCCTTTCCTAATGGAAAAAAAAGTGAGGGAGGGATGCGTGTAAGCAAACCTTATGCTAGAAGAGTTACCAGCCGTCACAGTACCTCCAGTTTCCTTAAAACTTGGTCGAAGTTTCCTCAACTTTGATGCATCAAACTAGCGAGAAGGAAGAATGATATTAGGGCTTGTTTTTGTTTGGGAAGGGGGAAATGACTTCCGACTTCCAGAAGTCATTTTTTCATTTTCGATTTTTGGTTATCGAAAATATGAGTCAGTGGAAAATGATTTTCGTAGTAAACGGAAAATGAGCCTTATTCGGCGGAAAATGATTTCCTTTTTTCGAGGGAGGACATTTTCCATCATTCTCCTACTTCTTAGATAATAACAACAAAAAATAGTTTTTTTTTTCATTTTCCAAACATTCAACCAAACACCAAAAGAATGAATTTATTTTCCAAAAGGCAGTTTGGGGAACTCATTTTTCAGAAGCCATTTTCCATTGATGCATACAGACTTTTAATTTAGAGAGTAATTACAAGGTAGGGAAGCTCAAGTACTGGATCATTAGGGTTATAACTTATAATAACATATGAGTAAAATAATATATTTACCTTCCCTAAACCTTCATCCTTGTCAACAACAGTTGATGGCTTTCCCCTTCCTCCTGACACTTCAACCTGCATAATATAATAAAAGAATGAATGGCACTGGTTCTTTTTCAGAGGAAAGAAATATGTATTGAATGCAATCAAGTTGTATTTACTGGCACAATCTCCCATGCAAAAGCACCAGCATTTTGAGCAGCAATGCCACGCTCAAAACTCTGAACTGCAAAATCATCCTGCATAAAATTTAATTTTAGATTAGTTTGGTAAACTTTCTACCAAATGCATAACTACATTTGCTTTTAATCATTTACGAATGCAGACTTTAGGGCAGTCGAAGTGGATATTTATTGGACATAAGATGAAAATAGAAAATGGAAAAGCTCAATATTGGAAATAAGAGACTGGATTCAACACAAACACATACACACACACACATACACACATTCTGAAGTGTTATAGTTTCAACACAAACCTGCTCTTCTCTTGTTAATTTATGATTTTCAACGCACAATTCAGCACAAACTCCCATTCCACAGTCATTGTAGACATCCCACAACCCATCCTTGAGCATTCCATCAACTAGTGAGTCATGCCCGAGGCGAGATCCTTTCCTATAGTTATGCATAAATTCGAGGTAATTAAACACATCATTGTTGCTCATGCCATATTTCTAGGATATTTTAGACGATTCATCATAGTTTATTTATTGAATATGGAAAATAGACAACTAATCCTAGAGTCATCACCCAGCATACACCACTTCCTTCTTCTTTTTTATTTACCCATCCATAAAGCAGATTGAGGGCCTTTTGGGGGCTCAATTTTATTAAGGGTATGTTTGGATCTCGAAAAATGCCGAGTTATTTTCTTATGTTTGGTTTTTATTGAAAACTTTATATACATTGTTTTATGCATACACAATTTGAACTTCTTAGTCTTTATATTATAGAAATAAATATATAAAATGAGTTTGAACAAATACTACAAGTTTATTTATTGAGTTTGAATATACGGAGTACATAGTATCTTTAATTTCTTTTAAATTCTCTTTCCTCTTTATTCTCCTCCTTAATTTATTTACCTGCCATTTTCCGCGTTCCAAATGGTCCCTAAAGAAAACATAGAAGTAACATCTGTTGAGGAATACGAACCTTGCTTCTGCAATGTATTTGGGAACATTCGACATGCTTTCCATGCCACCGGCCACAACGACATCATTGATGCCTAACTGGATACTTTGTGCAGCAAGCATCGTTGCTGACATGCAAAATAAGTATATAGATGAATCAAATATTATTACTTATTAGGCTTCCTGTGTCATATAGCAATTTTCAGATGATGTAACATACCTTTCATCCCGGAGGCACAGACTTTGTTGACAGTCGTGCAAATAACAGTGTTTGGTATTCCTGCACCCAGAGCTGCTTGCCTGGCAGGAGCTTGCCCCAGGTTTGCGCTAAGTACATTCCCAAAGAAAACTTCTTCTACAAGGGATGGCTCGACATTTCCTCTCTTAAGAGCACCTAAATTGGGATTGAAGAAAAAGATATAAATTTGAATGTCCTCCCCACAGGCCACAGCAAAGAAATCATTAGAACATTGTGGTTTCTCTTACTTTCAATAGCTATGGATCCAAGCTTGGTAGCTGACAACGATGAAAGGGAGCCAAGAAAGGCGCCCATTGGCGTGCGGGCAACACCAACAACGCAAACATCTACGCAACATNGTCCCCCCCCCCCCCACAGCAAAGAAATCATAAGAACATTGTGGTTTCTCTTACTTTCAATAGCTATGGATCCAAGCTTGGTAGCTGACAATGATGAAAGGGAGCCAAGAAAGGTGCCCATTGGCGTGCGGGCAACACCAACAACGCAAACATCTACGCAACATAACAACAATTGAAGTAAATGACCCAATCATTGGGAATGCAAACAAATAGTTTTGACATACAAAAATTACTTTTTCTGTAAACAAATCAAGAGCTTCAGAGCCAAATGGAAGCATAAGAAATATATTTACCTCTTGCTACTGGAGCCATAACAACTTAAGGGATGCACAAATTGGTTTCTGTTTCATAGAAAACTCAATTAGAATTTAAAAAAAGGTCACAGAGCATTTATCAACAAACATGCAAAATATTCACTTAGACTTGGTTGATAATTCCCAAACAATTATAGACCAACAAAATTCCCACTGTACCCTTAGCATCAAGCATGTTAACTTCAACCACTCTAAAACTTCAATAATCATAATCTAAATCAATCAGCGAAAAAATAAAAACAAAAATCTCCTCTCAACTCATTTGCATATAAAGATGCGCAGAATTTTCAAACCCGTAGATCTGAAGATTAGAAAAACGAAATGAGGATCGGGGAGAAAACCTGCAATGAATCGCTTCCGGTGGAGAGAGGGGGCGGCGGGAGGCTCCTTTGACGGCGGCGACGGACGGAGAAGAACGAGATGAAGATCAACGGCAGCTAGGAAGAGCGATTGCTGAAAGAAATCCAGAAAATATTTTTCTCGTTAAAACTGTGGAGGATCGACGAAATTGAAATGGGCAGAATCCGTTAAAATTGAACGAACAAAAACTGCAACTGAGTGACTGTTGTGAATTGTTTGTTCAATTGAGCTCTTAATCAAAGGGGTATAAATAATTCTTGGACAATGATATGGTCAAAGAGTCACACCCATGGCTCGTTTGGTGGAATAGACTTTTTTTTACTTCCTCCGTCCCAAATTATTTGCAACGTTTGCTTTTTCAGCAGTCGCGGGAACTTTTGTTTATTTCTACATTTTCAGTGGTCATTTGATAAAATAAAATATTCTTGACACCTCTTATTTTAAAGAACTTTTCATGTAGTTTTTTTATATGCAAATTTTATTTTTAATTTCTATACCAATATGTAAATAAAATAAATTGAAAAAACTTGATATTTTGCTTCGGGAATACAAGTGTGGCAAATATTTAGGAACGGAGGAAGTAATATTCTTTCCGTCCTAAAATATTTTTTTCAGTTAGGTCAGATTTTAATCTTTTTTACCTATTTTTTGCTAGTTATTTAATAGAATAAAATAATCTTGTCACATCTTGTTTCATAAAACTTTTGATTCATTTTAAAATAAATAAATTATATATATATATATATATATATATATATATATTACCTACAACCAAATAAATTGAATTGAAAATAAAGTTAATCAAAATTCATAAACAGAAATGGGAATAACATTTTAGGACGGAGAGAGTAGCTCCAAACTCATAGGTGTAATATGGAGTCTTTGTTTAAGTTAATTTCAACTTTTTAAATGCAGTAGTGATGTTGGAATACTAGATGTGCCGAAGTTTGGAATGACTTTTTTACTACTATGCGAGCATGCTTTTATGTATAATAGAAATTAATATTTTCAGATGTTACAATACAATTTAAAGAGATTTAAATTTGATATTTCTCGATATTAATTATAACACTCATCACTTTTATAAAACAGAGAAAGTTTTATTATGTGTACATTCCATGTTTTGGTTTTAGCTAAGTACTCTTCGCGTCCTAAAAAGTCCTTCACGTTTCAAAAAAATCGTGTCCCCAAAAATCCTTCTCATTTCTATTTACACATCACATCCTACTTTTACGCATCACACCAAGGGTATTTTTAGAAAATTAACATAAAAATATCATTCCTTTATTTTACCACTTTAGTCAATATGTCTATATTTTTATGAGACGGAGGGAGTATATTTTATTAAAAATTATGCCAAATTCAATTTATTTATGATACTCTAACTTCAATATGTAATGACTTTAAAGTCTTGTTTATGAATAATATTCTAAATTATAATTAACATTTTAGACCAAATTGTAATTCATTTCAATGCGGTACATCTCATTTATACATTTTCTATTGTCACTAATGTATCTTAGTCATTTCATTCATTCATTTCTCATTCGCCCCCAATTATACTTTGCATCGTCCTTCTAACTAATGTTGCCAATAAGTCTTAATTAAGATCATTAATAAATTACGTCTTAATTAAGTTCATTAATAAATGACATTTTACGGATATATTCATAACTTTTTGCTTAAAACATAGATTTATTTCCAAAAACATATGTGGAAATATGCAATGAATATATTGTCCTGCCTCGAAATGAATTTTACAGTTGTATTCATTTTTAAATTGGTCATTTATAAAAATACTAAGTAATATAATAATATCGTCTCTGAATTGATAAATTTTTATGTAATTTTAAATATAGAGTATCTATATATTTTATTTTTTCTTCTATAAATAAAAATAACGTTAGTCATGCACCATTATTTATAATCATAACTAATTCTCATTTCTTATTACAACTCCACACAAACAAACCCCCCTTTTTTTCTCTAGACCATCTAAAATTATCTTTCCATTTCTTTTTAAAAAAAGAAATTTTAAGGAAGTCTTATGTTTTGAATTTCAGGAAATTTAAAAGAATATTAAAATTATTATATAATTAAAATTTGTTAAGAAGAGAATAATTTTACAAGTTTGTCCTTTACTTTTAAAGAAAATTGAATTTTTTTTTTTTTTTGCAGCCGTGGATGAAGTCGGAGATGGCGGGTGGAATAGATTTTATTTTCTTGGACCGTCTTTGTTGACCGGAGTGTCACCGGAGTAAATTAAAATAAAGTTAAATAATGACACTCATGACCCATAATAAAAAATACGGAGTACATTGATTTTCCCTTCTTGTTCAATTGTTGGTCTAGACTTTTTGGTATTTGGACATTCACTCTATGTTCACAAAGTCACAATCACACGAGAAATTGAAAAAAATCGTTTATAAATGTTGAAAAAAGGAAAATATTTCATTGTTCTTTAAATATTTTTTTCAAATACTATTTACATGGTTTGTTTACATATTCTCATTACTTATTTAATAGTAAAATAATATGCTTCATATAAGTATAATAAAGTAGGTAATACTCTCACCGTCCCCAAAGATCTTCCAGATCAAACACTTCTTGGCCACATGGTCAAATTGAATTTACTTTGTTTGTTCATTTTTATTACTTTGTTGGAGTTCCCACATCGGAAAATAAAGATGAGTATCACTAGCATATATAGAACGGTGAAGCCCTACCTATCAGCTTAAGCTTTTGGGTTAGAATTGTGGATCCCGACTTTATATGCAAGTGGTTAATTTTACCCGACACTCTATCCGTTGTTCTCGGCCCACCGGAATTCTATCATGGTATCGGAGCAGGTCCGGTCTGGGTTTGATTGTTCCTGGTTGTTTGGATGTGGGTTTAGCAAAAATGAGTTACCCGTCTCTGGTTTGGGCTGAGTTGGCTAAAAAGAGATTGAGATGCCACCGCCCGTTGTGTGGGCTAGCTATAAGAGATTGAGATGCTAGACCCGTTTGTCCAAGTGCTAACTAGGCCAGGCTAGTTACCACTTGCGGGGGAGTGTTGGAGTTCCCACATCGGAAAATAAAGATGAGTATCACTAGCATATATAGAACGGTGAAGCCCTACCTATCAGCTTAAGCTTTTGGGTTAGAATTGTGGATCACGACTTTATATGCAAGTGGTTAATTTTACCCGACACTCTATCCGTTGTTCTCGGCCCACCGGAATTCTATCATACTTCAAAAAATATTAGTCTTATCACCTTTTATTTTTTAAAAATTTTCATGAAGAAATCACTCTATCAAAATAACAGTTCTACGTTTTTATCTTCAAATAAGAGTTTGCATTGTGGTAATGTAATATTGTATATGAACATTTCACGATACTTTTTGGCAATGTATATGGTATTGGTTGCAACTGTAAATAAATTTTAACTTCAATTTTGGAAATAAAAATATGGTATATTTTCATTTTTCAATGTTTTACTCCTATTTTAGTCTTTTTCCCATCCATTTTCATATAGTTTTTTATTCTCTAAATTTTATTTTTAAAGTTAGATTTACGATTAAATAAATTGAATTAAAATTAAAATCAGTTGAGTCTCGAAACACGTAATTAAAAAATCAATGGGGCAGAGGAAATAACACAATATATTTTTCTTGAGAAGTCGAGTATGTATTAATTGATGTGTCCATAACTTTGCATTATTTATCTTTGAAGTTAGTTGGTGTTTATCTGAATGACAAAATATACTCCCTTTATACCAATTTAAGTTGTCTGTTCATTATTCATAAAATTAAACTTTAATCACATTCTTTATCCATTTTTACTACCGAAACTTCCACGTACGTGCTCTGAAGTGGGGTCCGGTGCCAAACAAGGTGCAACGGGTCAAAATGTCTAAAACTTTTGAGTCGGGACTATAGTGTTGGTGCATAAGATGCACGTTACCCATTTCTTGATGTCCATGACTTCGACAATGCTACTCCACATCCTAAGCCAGAACAACATGTCATTTAACTAAAGCATTTTCGACTATAGATAGAGCGTCAACAATTAGAATTAAACTTAATGAATTTAGAGGGAATTCTGATGAATTAAAACTCAATAAATAAGTTAGCTTAATTTAAGCCCAAACTAAAAAAGAGAATAAGAAAACTTCTCAAGTATTAGTTTAGTTTAAGCCCCAACTAAATATAGCACATGAAAGGCCTAACATATACTCTCAAATTCCCTTCTAGGGATGTTTTTAGGATCCATGTTATCGAACCCAGGGTGGTTGTAGTGGTGGGTTTAAGTCTTGTTTTGAACCTAAAAAGCTAGCTTTAACCATTATAAATAGATGATGTGACAAAAAAATTTTAAAGTTGACCTTTAAAGTAGAGAGTTGGGTTTATGAGGAAATGATGGTCCCCACCATCTACATTTATTACTTGTATTTTTTTTAATTTTTTTGTGATTGCATATTTATAAATATATTTTATTTAATCTAAGAAAAGAAATAAATATTTTAATTAATTTAATTAAATATAAAAATTATTTGTATGGTTTATTTTACTTAAATGTAGATATTTTGTTGAAATTATTAGTACCGTACATTTATTTTTATATTAATATGATTTTAAAAGTTTGTAGGTTTTAATTTTTGATGTGGCACTGTTAAAGCTGCTTTTTTGGTGTGGCCTAACCTGAATCTTAATTAGACTATCTATAAATGTCTCGTCGCCACTCCTTCCAAATTAATAGTCACTCGTCGTCGCTCATTGAGTATTTGTCTACTTTTGATTTTTCGGTTAAAATTGGTAAATTTTGACTTCAACTTAAATAAAAATGATATTAAATATTGATAAAAATAAAATAGTTTTATTAGGTTTATTATATCAAACATTTTCAAAATATTATTCTATTTAATTAATATACAATATATATTTTATTTACTTATAGCTCAAAGGTTGAAGACAGTTGACTGAAAAACATTAAAACTTGACAAATACTCAAGGACGGAGATAGTATATGGTTTGATGGTTGAATAGAAAGACAATCAATTTAGTTCAAAAAATTCTACATGGTATCGGAGCATGTTTTGGGAATTGTCTTAAAACTAAAACCTCTCAGTATTTCTTTGTACATCTCTTTTCGGCGAACTAGTCCGTCCGTCCTTGTTCAATCGTTCGCCGGATAGAAGTCGGCCCGTCCAATTGAAGTGTGAATTGAACGCTTTGCGCCAAAAAGGTCAAACCGTGGTCGTCTATTATAATCAATTTATCATACTCTAGAATCAACATTATGGTTGTGAAGATCCCACGGGTGGATGCACTTGCGGTAAATCGCGCGCGTACAGAGCGTGAAAAAACCATGGCGTATTTGACCAACAAATAGGATATGAATTCTAATATCTTACAAAGTCCTTTTATCAATGTTTAATGAAGTCTAAACATGTTTACAAAATGATCAAAAATTTCACAAATTTACTATTTGTAATTTATTAAAAAAATATTTTAGACTATTTTTTGTTTATTGAACTCTATAAATGGTAGGTTTGTGACCATTTTGTGTGTGAACCTAGCATTTCTCTATCTTTAGATATGAAAATTTTTTCTAATGAAAAAATTTTAATATTTCATGAATTTGGGATATCAATCAGGGTTCAACATCTCTTCAAGCCGGCCACGCTCTATCACCGGCTTCAACGATCATCGTCCACTCACTGAACACTACCATTTCAAATTTCATACGATATCAACGTTTCAATCATCAACCAAATCCTTAAAAATGTTATAAAAGAGTGACAAAAAATTATTTAAAAATTTTACACAATGAAAAATTCTTTGGAGGTCCTTACGTCTATTTTTATTTTAGAGTAAATTCCATAATTGGTCCTTTATAATAGGGGGTTTCCATATTTAGTCCTCTATTATCAAATATTACCCCCATAGTCCTTTTTTTAAGGGTATCTTTCCACAAATGGTCCTTTTTTAGATCTTCTGTCGTGTTGGTGTTAATTTAAAGGCTAAAAGTATAATTTGATATCAACATTATGTTTAGTGACGTGTTCTGATATTGGTTAAGCAGATAACACAAAAAGAATGACTATGGTTGTTGGCTAGGGTTCTGACGAAAGACCACATTTGTAGATTATGATTGTAGTAGAAAGTGACTATAATTCACAAACGACGCAAACGGAACAGCCTTTGAAATTGTGCATGACAAAAAAGATATATTATCATTGTGAAATTACACTTTTAGCTCTCAAATTAACAGCAACATGATTGAAGATAAAAAAAAAGACTATTTGTGGAAAGATACCCATAAAAGAAGGACCACTTAGATAATATTTGATAATAGAGGACTAATTAGAGAAACCTCCATGTTATAACGGACCAATTATAGAATTTATTCTTTATTTTATAACCTTAATATTTTGGTACATGAAATGACTACAGATATTGAAATTTGTAAAAAGAAAAAAAATTCATGTTATAAACATATGAAAAATATCTGAAAAATCTTAGAACTAAAATAAGACACGTACGTTACTAAAATGAAGGTTTTTAACAATTTTCAACATTTGTTTTTACTCCTTCCGTCCCGGAGTATTCGTCCAGTTTTGACTTTTGGAACTATTCATCTAAGCACTTTGACTCATCAAATCTCTCTCAATGTGTAAGCCTAAATATAGTCATGTGTGATCTTGTTTGATTTGCCTTAACATATAGATTATTAATATATAATTTCTATAATTTTTTAATATACAAATTACAAGATAAAATGGATTAAAGAAGTGTATTGGATGATGTGTAAAAATGAAAGTGGATAAATACTTGGGAAGGAGGTAGTATTTGTTATTGCGATTTCAACGTGACCGCTAGCCCCCAAAGGAGTTGCGCTTTCACAAATTCACAGTCTTCTTTCTAGGTTTCATCCCCACCGTGCTTTCTGGCCATTCATTCATTCACCCCTCCCTTTATAAACCTGGTTTTGAAGAAGGAGAAGAAGGGGGGGCAATTTATTTCTTCAAATAAATAATCTTGAAATTCCGTATGGGGTTGAACTGAGCAGTGCAAAGTTCTCATCTTTGATTAAAATTATATTTTAATTAATTTAATTAAATATAACAATTTATTTGGTTTATTTTACTTAAATATGGATATTTTGTTGAAATTATTAGTACGGTATGTTAATTGTTACTCCCTCCGTCCCTAAATATTTGTCACACTTGTATTCCCGAGGCAAAATATCAAGTTTTTTCAATTCATTTTATTTACATATTGGTATAGAAATAAAAAATAAAATTTACATATCAAAAAACTACATGAAAAGTTTTTCGAAATAAGAGGTGTCAAGAATATTTTATTTTATCAAATAACCAATGAAAACGTAGAAAAAAACAAAAGTTTCCGCGACTGCTGAAAACGCAAGTGTGGCAAATATGTTGGGACGGAGGGAATATATGAATATGTTTTAAAAAGTTTGCAGGTTTTAATTTTTGATGAGGCACTGTTTAAGCTCCTTTTTAGGTGAGGCATAGTCTAAATCTATATGAGACTATCTATAAATGTCTCGCCACCACTCACTCCGAATTAACAGCCACTCAATGCCACATCAGCACTGATTTTGTTATTATTATTATTCTTTATTAATTTTTTTCCTTTTTATATATCAAAACAAATTACTGCACCGAAAAAAATAATTAATTAAAAAAACTTATACTCCGTATTACATAAAAATAGAAGAAAAATACAGGCATGCATCACATAATTTAACAAAGAACACATGAAAGAAAAACATGAAAAAATATGGTTGAAATAAAAACTACTCCCTTTGTCCCAAAAAGTCAAACCCTGGCACCCTTTTACAATGAATTAAATATAATTTAAAATAATTTAATATTATAAACATTTGATATTCCAAAACTATATTTTAAAATAAATCTAATTTTACTAAATTTACATAAGCATAATCTTCCACACATCGACGTTATCAAAAGCATGACCCTCAATGCACTTGTAGTCTTGATGCACAACATTGATGATATCTTGTTCACCTCATCCAATTTTTCTAATATTTATGTGGCAGATCATATGTCCGATGAACTTGTCGACTTTTTTCTTCAAGTTGTGCCACTTACTCGTCAACATGCATGTCTACCGTATGGTAGTTCTCTCTCACAGTTTCATATTCCCGTCATTCGGATAATTTGGGTTGAAGGAGGGATTGTAAAAATACGAAAGATTGTGATTGTTTAGATTCATACAGTGTGAGCAAAAACATGAATTCTGTAAAGAAATATAATAGAAATTGAGAAAAAAGAAGAAGTGATTTTGTTTGAAAATGGGTATGCTTGGTTGTTTAAATGGAAGATGGAGAAAATTAGCAGGTTTTAAATTTGATTTTATTATTTAATTTTTTAAATTGATTTTTTCAAAATGACCGCGAGAAGCAAATGAAACAAAAAAAGGAGAAACGATCACTAAACGTGAACATGACCGCGGTGGGACTCACAACCCGTGGTCACAATGGGGGNTAGGGGGTGTTCGCGTGAAATGGAAGCACACGTGGCTTCGCCACACAGGATCACGGTGGGGCGGTGGGCGGACATTACACACAATTTTATGGTACATTGGTCCTTCATCGATTCATCCAAATCGATTTCATCGAATTGTAATAAATCATCTCAACCAAAAGTTTAAGCTTCAAGTCCTGAGCTTATGAATAAAGATTAAAACTCGAATAAAACATTAAAAATATAACAAAATAGGAATTGCATTTTTTTTATTCCCAAAATAGGAGTTGCATTAGTATCATATATCGAGAATGTAACTCTCATTTTAGTAAATAAAAACATGAAGCTTTTATTTTGAGGTGTTGCATATATTTTATTTTTAGTTTAATATTTTCTTTATATTACTACAGAGTATTGTATTACAAATTTTTTATCCTTATATATTATTTAAATAATTATTTTTACTTTTAAACTATAAATATTTTTAGCGATGGGGCACATCAATTTTTTCACTTGGGCACTCTTTTAATTGATCACAAAAATTTTTACACTTTATATTTAAAAATTTTTAATGGAGAACTAGCCAGTGTCCCCATTGCCTTGAACTTGGATCCGCCCATGAGATATGAGTTTGCTCAAGCTTTACACATGAATATTAAATTTATAAATTTGGATGTTGGTGAGGTTTAAATATCTGAACTCTTGATCACTAAGACTTGATACGTTGTCAAACAATAGATTCAATAAAAAATTCAAGATCATGGTTGTAGGGCCGGGAAAAGTTTTATTAGAAATCACCCTAAATAAGACTTAAATATAGAAAAAAGTATCAAAATATGACTTTTATGTTTTTTTCCGAAATATGACTTTGCACTATGGTAACGTGGCACTGTATATGTGCACATTACTATAATTTTTTGGTAATGTACATGGATGGAAATCCTATTTTGATATATTTTTAATGTTTTAGTCCTATTTTGATCTTTATCCCAAGTTTTATACTCTAACACATTTCCTCATGTGTATGTGAGATTTTTAATTGCTCGAACCTTGCACGTGAATATACTAATTTTTTAAAATTGGGTGGTGGTAAAGTTTGAATTTGTAAATCTTGATATTTTGATACATGAAAGAGCTATATATATATATATATATATATATATATATTGAAATTTGTAAGAAGAAAAAAAATCATGTTATAAACACATGAAAAGAATGTGAAAAAAATTTATATATATTTTTATTTTTCTTACAGGGCTTGAATTAGAATAACACAATTGCTGAACGTTACTAAAATGAAGGTTTTTAACAATTTTCAATATTTGTTTTTATTTGTTATTGCGTTTTCAACGTGACCGCTAGCCCCCAAAGCAGTTACGCTTTCACAAATTCACAGACTTCTAGGTTTCCTCCCCACCGTTGCTTTCTGGCCATTCACCCCTCCCTTTATAAACCTGGTTTTGAAGAAGAAGAAGAAGGGGGCAATTCATTCCTTCAAATAAATAATCTTGAAATTCCGTATGGGGTTGATCTGAGCAGTGCAAAGTTCTAATCTTTCAGCAAAACCATTAGTGTTCCGCAGAGAGGAGTTTCTGTTCCTGGTGCATCAATGGCGTCTCAGTCGGCAAATTTGTGGGTGTTGTTAGGGCTAGGGTTGGCAGGGATACTCATGATGACGAGGAAGCTGAAGAAAGCAGTTAAAGCTGACTTTGGGGCTTTCCTTGAGCGGTTTCAGCTTCTGCCGCCGCCTCAGCCGCTGCCGCCCAAAGCTCCTCACCCTCTCACTGGCCTCTCTTTCTCCGTTTCCGATGTGTAAGCCTTCCAAGCCAATGACTTTAGCTATTTTTCGATATATCTGTTGTCTCCATTGAGATTTGAGAGTGGTTTTTGGTGGGTTGTCTATTACTTAAGTTCAATTACATTTTATCCGTGTTTAGAAGACATTCTCCTTATCAAGATATAGACCAAGCCATCCTTCCAAGCCTTTCCACTTTCATCCCAACTGACCCTTAGCTTGACATAGCTTAGCTTTCTTTTTTGCTTGTTCAGTTCCGTTTATTCGTGCCCTCACATAAGTTAAGAAAGTGAAAGCTCACTGATTTCTGTAAGTGGAAATAAGAGTGTTAAAGACACAGTAAAATCCCAGAAAAGTAGGGTCTTTGGAGGGTGTGTGTCTATATACCTTACCCCTACTTCAGAAGTAGAGAGGTTTCCATGTACCGGAAGGGAAAACAAGAACTATAAATTGAAAGACAGGGAGTAATATGTTTATTGTTATGGTCATTATTTGATTGGATTATGATGGAGTGTGTTTTTTTAGCCTATGAAGATTTGGCTTCAATCTCATCTTCCATATGGGAAAATAAATTGTTGTCATGTACATACAAGGAAGTTTTTAGGTTTCAACACTTGAGTATGAAGTGTGGATTCGTATACTGATTTAGCTATAATTGCACAGGTTTAATATCACTGGATTTGTTACTGGTTTTGGCAATCCAGACTGGTCGAAGACTCATGAATCTGCAACGCAGACGGCTAGTGCAGTTACTGCACTTGTAGAAGGAGGTGCAACATGTGTCGGAAAGACTATCGTAGATGACATGGCTTTAGGGTTTGTTTGCTTTTTTAATGCTTGATACTAGTAGCTTGTTTATTTCTGCTTTCACTTACTCGTATTTGCCTTATATGAATCGTCATGTTAATATTATTCAGATTAAGCGGAGAGAATAAGCATTATGATGTGCCAACTAATCCCGCATCTTCTTCACGAGTGGCTGGAGGTGCATCTAGTGGTGCTTCAGTAGCTGTAGCTGCAAAACTTGTAGATTTTTCTTTGGGTATCTTTCATTCTCTCTCTCTCTATTACCACCTGTACTTGCTTTATTTATCATGTTACTGTAGTAATGATACCTGATTCCAGGTGCCTCTGCATTTGTAGCATTTTTTTCTGCACTGTTATGCTCTGTTTGGCTAACAAGAGAACAAAGAGTAGAAAGAAGAGAAAAAGGGCGGGTTTTATGTTTTGTTTGGTAGGAGAAACATATGAGGAAAAATGAAGAAATGAATTGTGTTGATTTAAAAGACAAAACCATTCAATTAAAGTTAGAAAGTGATGTAGTAAAAGGGATATTTTGTTCGTGCTACTTTCTTGTCGATTTGCTCAAATGTTTTGAGTGGGAGGTCTCTTGGAAACAATTTTTCTACTATCTAAGTAGGAATAAGGTCTGCGTACACACACCTCCTGACCCCACTTTGAGGGATTTTACTAGGTCTGTTGCTATTGTTGGATTAAGGAACCATGCTTTAATTGTTCTGTAGAATATTCCAATTCAGACAAACCTTTTTTATGGCAGGCATTGATACTGATGGCGGTGTGCGTGTCCCCGCGGGGTATTGTGGAATTCTTGGGTTTCGACCGTCACTTGGGATAGTTTCTCACATGGGGATAATTCCTGTCTCACCAAGCCTTGATGTAGTTGGTATGCCCTGTCTGTTTATATATAATGGGTTCTCACAATTCACACATTTGTCTCTCCTGTCCATATTGTATGCAGAAGATACTAAGGTCATACTTCAGTTGGATAAAATCTACAAATTGTCAACTTGTTTCACATTAATGCTCATCTTGACTTCATTTTTGTAGGATGGTTTGCTAGGGATCCCAATATACTGCGTCGTGTTGGGCATGTGCTGCTTCAGGTTCCGTTCACGGCTCAACGCAATCCAAGGAACATTGTGATAGCTGATGATCTGTTTAAGTCATTAAATGTTCATATTAATCGCACCTCTCAAGTAGTTGTTAAAGCCATTGAAAAGCAGTTTGGAAGTATACTCTCCTTACCTTTTCTGTTTGACATAGTTATTACTACAATGGTTTCCCTTATGTGTGTGTGTGTGTGTGTATATATATATATATACGAGCATGGATCTTTTGACACCAAGCATGGGTGTCATAGTATGACGCCAACCGTTTGAGGGCCCTATAGTGCTCCATTAGACCCGAAAGTGATTCTTACCCCTGAAAACCCCCCGTAGCCCCCCATCTCGATCATCAATATGCTACAGTGTTCCCCTTCCCCCCTCCAAAAAAAAAACCATGGATCACCAATATACTACAATATTGTCGTAACACATTGGCAATCCAGAGGGAGGGCTGGGGGGTTTGGGTAGGAACCACTTCGGGGTCCAAGGGAGCAACATAGCACCCCATAGGCCATAGTCATATTATGACACCCAAAATAGCTGGCAAAAGAACATGAGACTCTGGACTCCTAATTGTAGATAGTTTCCTTTTATATTTGTTTCCTTATTAGTAGAGTGATTTTCTAAATATCGCCTTGCAGGACAAATGATAAGACATGAGACTCTGGATTCCTATTTAAGCAAAAAAGTTCCAAGCTTAAAGTCATTCAATAAATTAAACAACGACGGTCAATTGTCTACAATAAGATTGTTAGCACATGTTGTCCAAGTACTCAAAAGGTGAGGTAACAAGTTGATGTTGTGATTGCTCTAGAATAAATCATCATGTCATTTGTATATGAATCTTAATGATTCACTATTATATTGCCCATTTTCACACAATTTCCTATTTGTCTTTCTTAGGGTATGTTTGGATCCTATTTCATTTTGCATCAAATACTCTCATAACTATATATTTCCCTAGTAAAAAAATAAAAAAAATCCCAAGTGGTTTCCGTGTTCCAAACAAACCTCTCCATACCTTTGCACTTCCTTCTCAAGTCTCGTAGCCTGAAAGGCGCAATTGTTACATTTATGATGTAGGCATGAATTCAAGCGAAACCATGATGACTGGATCAATACTGTGAAACCTACATTAGACCCTATCGTTACAGCACAACTGCATGGTGGTCTTGATGTGACAGATACTGAGATTGATAACTGCCATGCTGTGAGGAATGAAATGCGATCCGCTTTAAATGATCTTCTAAAGGTATTTAATTTGCAATAATTTCCATCACTAGTGATCAATTTATTGTTGGGGTAAGGCTTAGTTGCTGTGATCAATTCATCATCATTATCATTAACTACTAATGTTATTATTACTCTATGCTCCCTCCATTCCACTAATAGATTCCCACTCATTTTTCTTCCGTCCCAAATATACATCCTCTTTCTTTCATTCCGTAAAACACTAAAAGGAAAGGAATACGTGGCTCATGAATCATGATATTTCCTTCCCTTCCAACCAAAATCTACATCTATTGGTATAATTCTATATTACTATGTTTTAACTTACATCATGAATTGTTCGTGCCGTCCAAAATTAATATTCTTGTCTTCCTTTTTGTCCCCCCCCACCCACCCACCCAAAAAATGATCTTCATATTTCCTTCAATGGAAGGATTATGGGATTGATTCTAGCAGTTGTGTTGTTTATGTGTTTTCTGGTGTATTCCACTTTCTATGATCTCATGAATGCTTAAATGAATAATTTAAACAGAGTGATGGGATTTTAGTCATTCCCACCGTTTTTGATCCTCCTCCAAAAACTGGCGCTAAAGAGAATCAATCCATGGAATATCTACTTAGAGCTTGTTCGCTTGCTAGCTTGGCTAGCCTCTCTGGTGGGTGTCAGGTGAATTTCTCATACTATATCTGGCTTTGTCAGATTAAGGCCCCGTTCCGTTCAACTTATTTTTTCTGCTTTTTCTTAATCTTATTAAAATCAGATCAGATCAGATCTAATCAGATCAGATCAGATCAGATCCAATCAGATCAGATCTGATCTAATCAGATCTAATCAGATCAGATCAGATCCAATCAGATCAGATCTAATCAGATCAGATCAGATCCAATCATATCAGATCAGACCAGATCAGATCTAAATAAGAATTATTATTATTATTATTGTTATTATTATTATTATTATTATTACTACTACTACTACTACTACTACTACTACTATTATTATCATTATCAATATCTTTATTACTCCTTACTTTTTAAATTCCATATTTTTTAGTTGTTTCACTTGATACGGTTCTTTTAAAAAATAAATTTAATTCTATTTAAAAAATATAAGAAGAAAGAACATGAAACTTTTTGTGTGATTATAATTTATGTAGACTAAAATAAATGATATGAAGCACAATTGTTTTCTTAAAAATGAAAAATAATAAACTTTAGAAANATGAATGATTATTCTAATATATGAGTTAATTAATTTTGTTTCATTAAAAAATAATCATAAAAAAATATTGATTATATTATATTATGAATTATCATTACAATTTTCAATCAAATCAGAACCAATCAGATCAGATCAGAACCAATCAGATCAGATCAGATCCAATCAGATCAGATCAGATCCAATTAGATCAGATCAGATCAGATCTAATCAGATCTAATCAGATCAGATCAGATCAGAACTTATTAAAATCAGATCAGATCAGAAAAAATAAGTTGAACGGAACGGAGCCTAAGTTGCATGGAGATGGGGATGATTACTCAAACATGGACGGGAACAGGAAAACACCAACTTTTCTAGATTTTACAAAGGATTTGGGTGTCGGGACATCCCTAAATAACCGAACAGGGGCATTTTGGGTATGTGAAGTGGCAGTTACTTGAAGAATCTGTGCAACATAGTTGTCACAATTAACTATATTGGGCGTGTTTGGTAGCCCATAGCCAGAATAAGCAGTTTTTGAATGGCTTATTTAGTTGAATTGCTTACACGATCCCCAAACCCTACTTTGTGTGAGATATTAACAAACAGTTTTCCATTTATGTAAAATTCAGTAGATTCAACCATTTCATCCAAATAACACTTACAAAATGAGCCCTACGCCCCTACATTTTAGGCTATTTACATTTATCCATTATATATTGAATTCTGTTTAACTCTACTTTCTTTTTTTATGAATCCTTATATCACAGGCCACCTTACCTTTGGGGTTTCATGATAAATGCCCAATTTCTGTCTCCCTTGTAGCAAGGCATGGAGGCGACAGGTTTCTACTTGATGCGGTGCATTCTTTATATGCATCTGTGCAGGAACAGGTCGAAATAGCTGCACAGCCGATGCGCTCCAATAATGCTATTAGCAAGGAAGAATCGGCTGAGATGGCTAAAGAAAAGGTGCTTTATTTATTACTCTCCGTTCTACTATTTTTGTCCCTTTTTACCTTTTTTTGTTAGTCCCACTATTTGTGTCCCATACCATATTTGGTCATATTTGTGTGGTCCACATTCATTCTTACTTTGTCATTCTTTTTAACATCAATATCAACTACACAATCTTATCTTTCTTAATTTCCGTGCCACTCCCTTATGTATCAAACAATAGTGGGACGGAGGGACTAATACAATAATACTTTAACACTATGTTTGGTTCAATGAATTTAAAAGGGAAAAGAAAAAAATAAGATGGAAAACAGTTTTTCTTGTTTGGCTAGAGAGGAAAAGAAAAAAAAAAGTGGAAGGGAAAAAATGAGAAAGAAAAATGTAGTAATAGGAGGGAAAACAAAATTCCTCCCATTTTAGAGAAAACCATTTTCTTTTCTTTTTCTTCCAAATTCCATGAACCAAAATAGTGTAAGAAATCACTTCCTTTTTACTATTACACATTTTCTATTATGAGTGACTCACAAACGATTTGGCAATGGCATAGAGGAAAAGATGTTTTGACCCCCACACTCCCCCCCACCCCAATAATGTGAAAAAAAAGTAGACTTTGTTCCTCAAATATTAATGTCACCACTTTTAGCCCTTGAATTGTCACTCATGTGGTATTTTTGGTCCCTCGGTACAAGAAAAGTTAATTTTAAAATAAAAAAGATTCAAACCTCTATTTTGTATAGAATGCTACTCCGCAAGATGTACATCTAATGTAATCAAAGAGTAATATAACCTACATTTTAAATATCAATTATTGTATGTTTTTATAAGAACAAATTCACAGAAATCGAATGAATAACGTTGTTGAAAAGTTATGTATAGACTATAGACATGTAACATTAGTTTTTACTAAATTACATGTTAATGATGAAAGAAACTACTCCGTCCTTCCCAAAATGATCTTCGAGATCTTCCTACTTTCCTTTTTTAGCATCCTGAAATGATCTTCCCATTTCTTTTTTGTCATACAATTGTTACTTCTCTTTAATAAGAAGACACTTTTACCCTCAATTAATTCACCAAGTCAAGGACAACGTAGGAACTAAAAACAACGACAATTATAATTGAGGGACAACCCACAATTTCCTTATAATCAAGGGGCTAAAAGTAACAATTTTTCAATTCTTTACCAGGGCAACCAAGCTTTTAAAGAGAAACAATGGCTGAGGGCTACTGGCTTCTATTCCGAGGCTATCAAACTCAATGGCAATAATGGAACATACTTTAGCAACCGAGCTGCGGCACACCTTGAGCTTGGAAGGTTGTTTCTTTTCTCCGATCACTTTGATTTGTTGTACTATCTCCATCCTTTATCTTTCTACTTTTCCCTTTTGAACAGTTCTATATCTTTCTTCCCGTTTCCTTAAATGGAAAGAATGTTTACCTTTTTTACAACTAAAAGACTACTTTATCCTTTCTTTTGCACTATTCACCTTTTTTTACAAGTCTCCTCCATTTACTATACCACCAAGGGCAAAAAAAGGAAGTCAATTTTTTTTACCTTACATTAAGAGGTGTGCAAGGTGAAAATGAGGGAGGGAGTTTATATTAGTGTACACTTCTAACGCTTATTGGTTTTTTTTCTCTATCCACTGTATCCAGCTTTGTTCAAGCTGAAATAGACTGCACGAAGGCCATTGAACTTGATAAGAAGGTAATTGGTGATTTTATTCACTTATTATGCACACATTAAATTGATATGTTGGAATTAATAAATATAAGAAATATTGTACTCCTACGGAACCCTTCGGTTCTATGTTTCAATTGGGTAAACCATTATGTCTTTAGAAACCCTAGAGTCGTGCTATCCCTTGCCAAAAAAAAGAGTCCCGTCTGGTACAACATCTTTATTTTAGTAATGTACAACCATCATAAACATGAAGTATATTTATATATTTTTTAAAATATCGCTTTGCATTACTTATATCTATTAATGTACCTAACATTTATTTATGTTTTTTTCTTGGCAATTTTCATGTGAGTTAGCATTGTTTGATGAAAAAAACTGTTAGAAAGATTTTTTTAGGATGAACATGGTATAAGAGCGGTTTCTTAGAAGACTCCACAGAATACCCTATATATCTCACTCAAGATTATGGTTCAGGGTACTCAAAACTTCTATTCCAGACACAAATTACAATTAGAACCCTAGCGCTTTATAGTGGGCAAAATGCTCTCTTGTATCAAATTGAATAGATTGCAGTGCAAACCAAAGTTTCTCAAGTTTCTGTGTTTTGCTTGAGCTTGGTAGTCAAAGAACGAGAGCATTTAAGTTCTCTTTCCATTTCTTCTCCAACATGCAGAATGTAAAAGCGTACTTTAGAAGGGGCACTGCAAGGGAAATGCTTGGCTACTATAACCAGGCCATAGAAGGTGAACAAATTTTCTTTCTTTTACGGAGTATCTCTTAATTTCTTATCTATCCTGACAATTGGATTTACAATCTAAGCGTGGTAAACAAGCGAAAAACTTTTAAGAAGAAAAAAAACACAAAGGCATATTCATTCGTTAGTTGAATTTTTTCTCACTGCGAGTCGCGAGATATGCACTACTTTTTGCATAAATGCGCACCACGGTGGACGAAAATGCATCATTTTCATTTCTCACATTAAGAGTCAATCTCACCTACTACACCCCGTGTGTGTTTTGTATATAAAACAAAAATGAGTATGCTCTCCTCCACCCCACCCCACCCCCGCCCCTGGGATCAAACAAGCCCTTAGAACTTAGAATCTTAGATCATATATGCTATGTTATTGCAGATTTCAAATATGCACTTATCCTGGAGCCAACCAACAAGCGAGCAGCTCAGTGTGCTGAGAGGCTGATGAAGCTGTTCCAATGAAGAAGTATATAATCCATTAGAATACCATTTATGCCCCCCTCCGGAGATTGAAGATGGTATCCCTGCAAACAAATGTGACAGTGTTTGAAAGGGGAGAAGCGGTTCAGCATTAGTTTTGAGCAGTCCATGCCTTTGACCAGATGAGTTTGTAATTATAGTGCAATTTTGCTCTATCATAATCATCATCTTCTTCTTCATTTTTTTCTCTTCTTTTACATTCAAACTGTATGGTTATCAAAGGAGCTCTGAATTTAAAGCCTTCTCAATCTGAGTTTCTGGAATGAATTCTTTTTGCAACTTGAAATGAATAAATGTTGGGTGTAGAAATTGGTCTTTGCGACTTCGTGATCTTACGAGCATATAGTTGCAGATGAGAGCATATGGAGGTTTAGGATTAGGAGTAGTTGGTTAGACTTTCTGGGTCTATAGTTTGTGGTTTATGCTGGCGTGTTTTTTCTTTAGTCTATAGGTTGTGCATGTGTCTTTTTTGTATTTGTGTTTCTTGTCTTTGTGTTCTTATGCTCGCCTCTGCGTCTGCGTTTGTGTCGGGGGTTTTTTAAAAAATATTGACCTTTTTATGGTTGTAAAAATCTTACTCTCACTCTCATTTCCCAAATAAGGTTCTATATTTGAATTGACACTATTTAGAATTAGGGATATGAAACTAGATTTAGTTTGCAAATAGTAGTCCCTATTGGTAGGGAAAATAGTTGGTGAAGAAAAGAAAAGAAAAATGGAATAAAAAGTAATGTAAAGAAAAATGAATTTTCTTTTATTTAGGTGAAGAAAAGAAGAGAAAATTACTCTTTTTTCATTTCCTTTTGATTCTACGAACCAAACATAATAGGATTGTTAAATACTCTTAGCCATATTTTCTTTCCATCAACTTGTGTTTTCTTTTTCTTTCTAACCAAAAAAAAATCATCTCATTTTTTTATTTTCTCTTTTAAATTCTTTGAACCAATTGTAGTGTAAGAAATTTAAAATGAAAAGAAAAGAAAATAACATTCTCATTTTTCTCACCAAAATGAGTGAAATTTGAGTTTTCCTTAATTTTGTCTTTTTTATTTCTTTTTCTACTTTTTTTCTCTCTAACTAAAAATAAAACAAAATGTTTCCTCTCATTTTATTTTCTTTTTCAAATTTCTTTGAACCAATTACATGCGAATATTCGAGTCAAATTAGTTCACTTTATTACCTTTGAATTCAAATCAATTAAATTCAATATAATTTAGTTCAAAACTACACTGCAATTAGTTCAATTTCATTATCCTAGTGTTTCTTATAATTCTCTTATTATCTTAGAGCAACTCCAAGGAACGATGTATATGGGGTCTGCGTAAAGGCAATAAGAGCAATTACAATTGGGATGGGGAGAGCGGGAGGATGTTTTCGTCTCGAAGTCTATATCAAAAGATACTGGTTCTTTAGGTGTTGTTATTTTAGATCATTTTATTTCTTGGGGAGGGGGAGTCCATTTACAAGTGGTCAATCAGTTAAAAGTTCATTCCTAGCGGCATCGCATTTGTTAAGATGTCTGTCTAGAAGCTCATTCTTAGCGGCGCCCATTTATCTTTAGCCCAGTTCTCCGTATGGAAAACGGCCCTTGACCCATATAACTCGATTGTTCGTCTCAAAGTCCATGCCCATCAATTTTGGTCCTTTAGGTGTTGGCACTTTCGATCTTTTCATTTTCTAGGGAGGGGAGTCCATTTACAAGTAGTCAATCGATTAGATTCAAAATGACCCGGTTGTCCACTTAAGGAGGACTGTTAAAGGATATCCCACTTTGGAACTTGAAGAGTTTATACACTGGTATATAAGCTCTTGAGTTAAACTAAGTAATCAGTTTGATTCAATTTTTTAATGTGGTTCATTCTTAGTGTCTTATTGCTCAATCCAGTTATCCCTACTCCATTCTAAATTTTATTAACTTCTCTCTATTAAATAGGGTTTGGTTTGCTTTGTGACTCGTATTTGTTTGTACTGATTCGTATTCGAAATAATGGAATCCAGATTCGAATATGAATAGTATTTGTTATTCGGTAATGTTAATGATTACGAGTACAAGTATATCTATATATATTCAATTCGCTCTCTTAACAAATATATTTGAAAAAGTGAGTCAAAACAGTAAATATTTAAAATTAAATAGGCAATTCACTAATCACTCAAAAAATCAAATGTATGTTTATATTTTCATCTTTGATAGGTAAATTATGAGTTTATAAATTTTTTCCGTAATAGCTAATGCCAGTTACATCCATGCAAAGAGTTTATGGGAGTTTTTTTAAAAAATATTATTCACATGTTTAAATGCGATAAATTAAACGAATCGATATGGATCGACGGTTCCACCCTACAACAAACTCCGTGTATAGATATCAATGAAAAAAATTGGAGTTAAATATATGTTTTAGCCCAATTTTATCCCTTTAAAATATTGTTTTAGAAAGTAGTGCCTGTAAAATATACTCCCTCCGTCCGGAAATGTTCTTTCCGTGTTGATTTGGCACGCTTATTAAGGAATAGTAAAAAAAATGCAAAATTTTCAAAAATGCACATACTATAAACTTTTAAATCGCCTTTTATTATTAAAAAAGTATTAAAAAAGTAGATTTGTGATAAAATAGAAGGGTATTATTGATATTTAGCCTTAAAAAGCATACTAAAAAAGGAAATGAGAAGATTATTTTCGGACGGACCAAAAAAGAAAATGGGAAGAATATTTCCGGACGGAGGGAGTATATTTTTTGTAAACGACTTTTGCTTTTCGTCCTTCATTTTACATGGACTAATTAAATAAAAAAAATTAATTAGTTACAAATGAGAATCAAACATTCACCTCCAAAACCATGAAAAATCAAATATGACAAACCCTCCAAAAGAGGAGTATACTCTTTGACATTGAAAAAGAAAAAAATTGTTACTCCATACCATCTTTTAATCCAAATGCTTTACTTCAAAAGGGGTAGTGCCGTACTAGCCTTTGCTCAACATATTTGTTCATCTTAACATTATTACTCCCTCCGTCCGGGAATGATAGTCCCACTTTGACTTTTCTTTATTTTTAAGAGGAGTGGAAAAAGGCTTTGAAATGTCTAATTTACCCTTGCTTTAAAAATAAGGGGATGGGGATAAGAAAGAAGAGAAAGTGGCAGATGGAACATAAAGTAAAGGTCACTATTTGCAATCATTGGGAGAAAGTGGAAAAAGTGTACTTTACAATCCAAAACACCAAAAAAATTCATATTCCTCCCATTTTTTTAACTACCCGCCCAAAACTACCCCTAAAACCCTTTCAAAATGGGATATTACATCACTTTAAAACCCCACTTCAGCACTTTCCATTTTTAGCAGCCACATTCTTCAAGCATATTCCCCTTTTAGAAACCAGTCACAGCACCCAAATCTGCCATTCTTCTTCTTCATGCCCTTTTTCAGTTTCTTGTTCTTTTTGTTGTTTTCCTCACGTCTTCCCGGTGGCCTGCACGTAAACACGTAAATGAGTTTAGACAAAAACTCCAAGAATTTGGAGAACACAACGAGGCAATTGATTGGTGAAGCACTACTACGTCATTGCAAAGAGAATCCTGATGGTACATTTTCAGCTCAGTATGGGCAAATCAACAAACTCGCTTCAGAGTTTAATGTCTCTCGAAAAACAGTCGGCAGGATATGGGCTATTGCAAAAAAACAGTTAGAGGATGGGGTTGCCATCGATGTGAGCAGCAGGATTGCAGGAAACAGTGGCAGGAAGAGGGCTTTCATGGATTTA